TCTTAGAAAATGCCTTTCCCCCCACAACTGCAACAATCTCCTCTGGAAAAAAGGGCAAGGACAGGAACATGGAATATGTAAGGGGACTGTTGCCCCCTTACTGACATTCAGTGGGGGTGTTTTGGTTTTCTAGTTCCCAGTACTAAAAAGGGGGAAAGGTCGATGGGGAATCAGGACCCTGAGACTGATAGCCCCCAGGAACAATGGGGAGAGGCCAATGCTCCAGGTCAGCCTGAACGACAGGGCAGGCAGGCTAATCAGGGAGTCAGGAGGCCAGGGAGGTCCCGTCCTCCAAGTGAGCTGGATTTGCCTGGGTCAGACAGACAGAGTGGGGCTGAGTTAAGGAGAAAGCAGGGGCCCAAGCTGAGCTGGGGAGCAGAGCTGTGCCAGATCCAGAGGGACCAGAAAAGCCAGCCCAGAGAGAGTAGACTTGCCCTGGGAGCAGAGCTGCAGCAACCAGAGCCAGAGGGACCAGGAAAACAGCCCAGGAAGCAGGTCAGTGCTGGGAACAGAGTCACAGAAGCAGCCTGCAGAGCAGACCTGTCCTGGGAGCGGAGCTGTAGCAGCCAGAGCCAGAGGGGCCAAAGGAGCAGCCCAGGGAGCTGGAGGCAGAGCAGCAGCTGTGCAGAGACAGAGTGGTGCAGCTGGGGCTGGAGCAGTCCGGAGCTGGGTGCGGTGAGCAGCTGGGGAGAGCGAGGTGGACCCTGGGCAGCGGGCCCAGCACAGGGAGACGCCTCAGTCAAGAGGCTCTGCAGGCCAGGCTTGGATCGTAACCCCGACAGGGCGAGGGCGACACTGGGAAGAAGGGTCCTGCCACTTAGAGCCTAAGAGCGTGTGGCCACCACCAGAGCGAGGGTCCGACCCACAGCATCCCCGCAGCACAGCCAGGGCCAGAGAAGAAGGTCTGGGACTTACAAGGAACAGACTGCGAACTGCCCTGACATTCCAGAGACACTGTTTGTGATGTTCCCTGTCACAGAGCGGGTTGAGAAACTCGGGGTTTGTGCTGGAAATGGCCCACCTGATGATCACTTTAGATAAGCTATACCAGCAGGACAGGGGGTGGGGGGGGGTTTTTTCCCATTTTTCCTGTATTCTTTTTAAAAGGGTTAATGTGTTGCTTAAATAACGCTTTCCTGTTTTTATTTTTTTAAAATAATGTTGATTAAATAACTTGCATTTGCTTTAACTTGTATGTAATGGTCAGTGGGTCAGAGAAGTGCCCGGTGCAGAGAGAGTACCCCGGAGTGGGGACACCCTAGCCCCTGTCCTAGGTGACCACAGCAGGGTTGGGGGTCGAGCCCCCCAGGAATCCTGGGCCCAGCCTTGTTGGGGTTACGAGGACTCTGCCAGACAGGAGAGTGAAAGGGGAGTCCTCAAGGGCAGGGAGGCCACTGGGTAAAGGAAGTGGGAGCGAGGACTCAGATCCTTTTGCTAGCCCACTTCACTGGGGTGGTTCAGAAACCAGGAAAGTTCCCCACAAGAGTGGGACTATTCCCCCACTTACAAATAGAAGGGAGATAAATGGGGTGGGCAAAACAGGAGAGGAAGAACTTGGGGGAAGGTGGAGCTGGGACCTGACAAGGCCAAAATTTAATAAAGACAAGCAGGAGAGAGTGAAGGAGAAGGGGAAAGAGAGCAAGTCAGCCCGAGAAGATTGGAATGGAAGGCAAAGATTAGTTGGAGAACAAGTAGGAAGAATATGGGACAATATGGGAAGAATATGGGACATCTAGGTCAGTGGTTCTCAACCAGGGGTACATGTACTCCTCGGGGTACACAGAGGTTTTGCAGGGGGTACATCAACTCATTTAGATATTTGCCTCTTTACAACAGGCTTCATCAAAAGCACTAGCAAAATTAGTACAAACTCAAATTTCATATAATGACTTCTTTATACTACTCTATATCCTATACACTGACATGTAAGTACAATATTTATATTCCAATAGATTTATAATTATATGGTAAAAATGAGAAAGTCAGCAATTTTTCAGTAATAGTGTGATGTGACACTTTTGTATTTTCATGTCTGATTTTGTAAACAAGTAGTTTTAGAGATGTGAAACTTGGAGGTACACAAAACAAATCAGACTCCTGAAACGGGTACAATCATAGAATATCAGAGTTGGAAGGGACCTCAGGAGGTCATCTAGTCCAACCCCCTGCTCAAAGCAGGACGGATCCCCAATTAAATCATCCCAGCCAGGGCTTTGTCAAGCCTGACCTTAAAAACTTCTAAGGAAGGAGATTCCACCACCTCCCTAGGTAACGCATTCCAGTGTTTCACCACCCTCCTAGTGAAAAAGTTTTTCCTAATATCCAACCTAAATCTCCCCCACTGCAACTTGAGACCATTACTCCTTGTTCTGTCATCTGCTACCACTGAGAACAGTCTAGAGCCATCCTCTTTGGAACCCCCTTTCAGGTAGTTGAAAGCAGCTATTAAATCCCCCCTCATTCTTCTCTTCCGTAGACTAAACATCCCCAGTTCCCTCAGCCTCTCCTCATAAGTTATGTGTTCCAGTCCCCTAATCATTTTTCTTGCCCTCTGCTGGACTCTTTCCAATTTTTCCACATCCTTCTTGTAGTGTGAGGCCCAAAACTGGACACAGTACTCCAGATGAGGCCTCACCAGTGTACAATAGTCTGGAAAGGTTTAGATCCACTGATCTAGAGGAGACGGGAGGGTTAACTGTTCACTGTAAACTTTTACTTCAGGTCATGAACACAATCTCTAACTCAGCTCCCCACTTTCTGTAATGAATGAATAAAAACATCTGATGCCAAAAAATATTGTAACAAATCCGTGGCAACATAGCACTATGCTGCACACCATCACCAGTTAGAATTGTAGCAGAGACAGAGCTTGGATATTTTTAATCCAAAAATAAAGGCATTCAACAAGTGACTCAAAGGAGAATCTCCATTACTTACCAGTATAGGGCCTGTGACACCCTGTTGAGTAATTCTGATTCCGTCCATTAGTGATCAGTGGGTACATATGTGTGCATCAATTCATGAACAGTATGGCCTCTTTCAACCCAAATTATTCGATGAAATATTGGATGAGTTTAAAAAAAACCCTAAAGGTTCTCAAAGTCATAGTCCATACTCAAAAATGGTAACTGAGATGAAAAATTTAAATGTAAGCCATAACAAGTGAATAATGCATGGTTTTTGTTCACTTAACTTTTTAGTAGCAAAGACAGAGACTCTCAACTGGTCCAAATCTTGGGACCTGATTTATTAACCTGAATAACAGTGTGGTTTCACTGTGTTGGGAGCAGGATTTGGGGAGCCCATTCAAGAGAGTATGCACCCATTGTATGCTGTTCAGCCCACCTTGGACCACGGGGGCAGAGATGACACATGGGTGGGGCATGAAGGGTCATGTGCCTCCCCCATTTCTCCAGATCCCTCTGGAGGGTATGCCCAGAAGCGAGGAGACTGCACTCACCCTGGCAGCGGTGCTCTCCGTGTGTCCATGCAGAGTGGGGACGGAGCATGGCGGCTGGCTGAGCTCCTCCCCTGACCCCCAACATGGGGCTGCTTCGCCTTCCCTGCCGCTGAAGTCCTAGCGCTGCTACCTGCTTTGCACGCTATTCACCGAGGTGAGTTGGGGGTGGAAGCAGAGGCAATGAGTGGGACTCCAGCAGCAGGGAAGGTGAGGCAGCCCTATGTAGCGGGGAGAAGGAGGAGCTCAGCCAGCCGCCCTGCTGCTTCCTCCCTACTCAGGGTGCACCACGGACACACGGAGAGTGCCGCTGCCAGTGGGAGGACTGCCTCTTCGCTTCTGGGAGTCCCGAGAAATTGGGGAGGCATGTGACCCCCCCCAGAACCTTTCATCTGTGTCCCCCACTAGCCACGGCTACATGTTGCCTCGGCACGCAGGTTGAAGCTGAGCTAGGGCCATGCTTGTGCTCTGAGCGGTCCCTGGAGTCCCCCTGCCCCCCGTACTCCCTGTCCCCTAGCCTACCGCCCACCCCAGCCTCATGCCCCCCACCCCCGAGCAGTTCCCAGAGCCCCCCATCTTGGCCTCACGTCCTCCCCACCCCGCATCCTTTGGGGCCAGTCCCTGGAACTCTCTCCACCCTCCCTCCCCACCCCAACCGGCCTTTTCCCCTCCCCAGTCCGCCTCCAGTTACCACTTTCTGCCACATCCCAGCCTCCCCCATCTCCCCAGGGCTGCAATCTGGAGTCGCCTTGGTCCCTCCTGGCTCCTAGCTCAAAAGTACTCACACATATTCACACTGCTTTGCTGCCCAGATCCCAGCCCATACCCATTTCTCCCCCCCCCCGCCCCCATCTCTGCTACTTGGCTCAATTTGGGGCATGGAGGAATGTTTGGGGGGGCGAGCAGCAATGTCAGGTGACTCAGGCCAGCCCCATGTGTCCAGTTTACAGTTTAGGAAATAAGGTCATCTAACTCTCCGGGCAGGGCACATGGGGAGCTGGCAGGCAATCGGGGAGCTTGGGGGGGGCCAATCGGGGGTTTGGGGAGTGGAACTGTGTGGGGGCCTGGACCTGGACTGTACTTTGACCAAGAAATTTGGACCTTGACAAAAAATAATTGACTACCCCTGCTCCCCACCATTGGGGCACAAGCAGAGCAGAGGCAACTTCAGCACTGAGGTCAGAACAGCAGCCTCAGAATTGCTCTGCTATAAGCTGCAAGCTGTGTGGCCTGTAAGTAGAATTCCTTCTCTCCAGCCCTGCAGGAGATCCCCAAGGTACACAGGCTGGAGAGAGGATTTGGAGCTAAAGAATAACATAGTAAATGGATGGAACACAGATAATTTCACAGAATTTTAAATGGTCCCCTCTCTCTCTATAAAATATGACCAAGAAATAATATATATATATGTATATAAAATGCAGTAGCATATACAATACAGCCAAGTATATAAAAGTATACACAGTATTTTACAGGGCATTTTTTACACAAATGAACCACAAATTACTTTACAAAGTTAATTTAATTACAGAATGGAATGGTACACCGGTTTTCATTATCTGGTCATGTCTGTAGTTTTAAAATAATGTTTTATGGCCATAAGATAACTCTTTAAAAATGCACAATGGTATTGCCGACATCTTCCATGGCACATCTGCTTAGTTTTACAGACACAAACAAGTTTTTGCTACTGTCAGCACTGAGGACCCAATTTAGCTGCGGAAGAGCAAAGCTGCATTGTAGTCTGGCTGATGCGTCACCCGCAAAATGAGCAGGCTCCCTTCTGAGTCTGGACTCTTGGGTGCTGGTGGTGATGTAGCAGGCAGAAAGAACAGAGCCTGTTTGGTTGTTAGTTCTGATTTACGATTATTCCCCGTCAGAGATCAAACTGAGCTTCCAGCACAGGCAGTGCAAGGGGAAGAAAAAAAAACAAAACAAAACTTGCTTCCACTTGTCAGCTGAGCCCCTTTTTATTTTAGGAAGCCATCCCTGCTTAGGAATAAATGGGGCAGCACTAAGAAATCATTCCACGGTGAGTGGCTTTTGGGACTGGAAAGAGCTGCTGTTCTTTCTACCTTGGAACGGCAGGACGGGTGTGTTCATTGCTTTGCAGGCTGCCGCCCCTCCTGCCAAAGGGGGAGCCCCTCTGGACCGGCGTGAAGGGAGGTTGGTGGACGGGAGGCGATGCTGTTATGCCGCTGTTACTGCTGGTCTTGCCGCGGCTGCTGCAGAGTCACGTGAGAGTCCCCTTTAAGTTTCCATAGAGAGGCCTCTCAGTGTCACATGATGGACATGATATAATGAAACAACATTGTAGCGAGGAAAGCATTGAGGGGAGCCCAGGGCTGCACAAACGGTGTCTGGGAAGGGGGCAGAGAGAGAAGGAAACTACGGGGCATCCTTCAGCACACAGGAGCCCACCTCCATCCACTAGCGAAAGGGGACGTGGAAAAGAGAGGAGGGGTCCCTCTGCTCCCCTCCCACCCCCCCCGGGCCAGGAGGAAGAACAACTTTTAATCAGCACAGATGGGATTGCACCTGTGTCCGGAGTCGCCACCATCCAGAGGAAGAGGAAATTTATATGAAAGAACAGATCTGGAAACTACCTGTTTTTTTGTTTTTCTTCCACTTTGCTGCGGGGGTTGGGGGGTCGCGGTGCGGGGAAGGCGAGAAAGCTTTGCCAGCACATGGATCAGCGTAAGGTAAGTTATTTATAGTCCTTAAAAGCTCCTCAAGAGAGATTTGTTTTGGGAGGTGTGGTGTATGTGTGTATGACTGCCGGGGGGGGGGGGAGGGGTTCGTCCTAAATTTTGCATCCCGGACGTTTAAACGAGGAAGGGTGTCCTTTCGCGGTGGCATAGTTTTTCATGTGAGTTTAGGTTCGGGGTGGGAATTGTTTCGCATGTTCGTCTCCTTTTAACTTCTTTTCTCTGTGTCCCTTTCCTCTGGTCCAGGGTCGGGAGCCATGGGGGGGGGGGGGGGCAGGCAGGCGTTTTGGTCAGGAGGGAGGGAGCGAGGTGGGATTTCCAGCTTGAAATGGGAATTTAAAAATAAAGAAAGGCGATTGCGCCATGTTTGTGTTGCTAAGAGGAGGGGTGGGGGGTGTGTGTGTGTGTGTGGCATGGCTGCATGCCACATGGCTTCTCTGGAGCGGCTGGGTTGTTCGTGTGTTTTTCCCCCTCCGTGTCCGCATTCCAGCTAATGTTGCGCAGATAAAATTCGAACTTGAGGTAAACAGAAGAGGAAACGAGGGGGCGGGCGGGCGAGGGGGGGGGGGGGAGGCTGTTTCCATCCTGGGATCCCACCTCTCCACTTCGCAGATAACATCCACAGCGGGCACAGCAACCCCCCCCCCACCGACCCCCCTCCTTTGTCGCCAGCCAGAAAAATAAGAGCAGTGGGACTGCAAACCATAACCCCCCCCCCCCCCCCAGGTCCTCTGCAGCTAGGGTGGTGATGGGAGGGGGCGGAGCGCCTTTTTATCTCCAAAACGTCACATTCCAAATCCATAACAACACAACCCCCCCCACCCCACCCACGCACACACCTTCGCCACCAGCATATAGGGAAGATGCCTTTCCCCCTCGCCGGCTGGCAGCATAGTGATCCCCACTTGCTTGCCCCAGGAAAGCATTACACCGAGTAGGTGAGAGCAGAAATAAATCCCCTTAGTGGGTGCCCCACCTCATCCAGCCGTGTTCCTCTCAGGCACCCAGCGAGCTCAGAGCCTCCCAAACACAGGGTGGAGCGGGTGGCTTTTTTTAACTAAAGCGGGAGGGGGCATGTTTTCCCCCCTTAGTGAAGGTGCAAGGACTAGGTTACTACAGTGCTGAGCATCTGGTTATTGGTCGGTGCTGGAGCTCCGTGTGCGAGCAACGGGTAAGTGTGGCTAGCTGGGTGTGTGGCAGCAGGTGCGGAGGCTTGGCATGTGGTTAGCATCACAGTGATACTGTGATGGAGGTTCGTGGGGATTTGGTAAGTGACTGCTGGGTAGCTGTGTGTTAGACGGGAGGGGGCCTTAGAAACCAGGGGGGAATGACAGCTGCGAGGCGGAGGAAGGCTTTGTGGTTGGGAAGGGGGTTTTGCTCTTTGTGGTGGTTTTGGAAAGCAGCAGAACAGCATCCCCTTAACAGGCTTAGGTATCTTCAGCTGGGTATAGATGATCTTGCTTAGTTTTAGGGGAGGGGTGTGTGTGTGTGGGTCTTTGATTTTGAGGGAGGTGTGCTGGTGGTCTGGGAAAGGTTATCTTTTGAAGTGGTGTGAAGTAGCAAAAATGTGGATGTGTCTGTCATCTGAAGGGGGGGGTGCTGTGATTTGCAAGTTCTAGGTTATGGCACAGGCAATTTAGCTGGCAATAAGTATACTCATCACTAATGTGATGCCCTTCACGTGTCCAGAGCACTGCAAACACAACCACTAATTCAGTGGCGCAGGTTTCTTTCTCTGTGCCACGTGGCTAGTGTAGGGGGCAGGCACTTGCCTGCAGTGGTATAGATAGCGGGTAGGGTGAGGTGGGACATGGGTACATGGCAAGATGGGGAATAAAGAGGAGAAAGGACTCCTTTAAAGAGAGAGAGGTATGTGGAATAGAAGAAGGCCCCATATGAGGTATAAGGGTGTATTAGGCCTTAAGGAGCTTGCGGGCAAGTGGAGTTGAGTGAGGAATTACAAAGCAATTTATCCTGGTGAGGAGGGGTAAAAGGGTATTGTGGGGCAGGACACTGGAGAGTGTATATGAGGAGGTAATACACATCATGAGGAGGAAGGGTCAGGAATACTGAGTGGATTATATCTTGAAAGTGATGGGAGTGCCGGGGGAGGGACTAACAGACGTGTGCGGGTGGGCTGTACACGTGATTGGTTTGAGTGGGGAGTTCAGTATGGGGGTGTAACATGTTGGGGATCGGGAGACAAGAGTGGGTCTGAAGAAGGTATGCGGGATTTGTGTGTGTGATTTGGGAATGGGAAGATGTACACAGGGCCATGGGGAGGGGCCAAAGGACTGTAGTGGAGGGTCAAGGACAAAACATGTTGTTGAGAAGCAGGGGTGCTGGAACAATGTGTACAGTGGGGGGGCTGAGAGCCATTGAACCGAACTGTAAACCCTGTATATGATGGAAACCACTTCAAGCCAGGGGGTGCGGTAGCACCCCCAGTTCCAGCACCTGTGTTGAGAAGTGCTTTTCCTGGGTGCATAGAGCTGGCACAGGGCTCTGTACGGGAGGGGTGTGCGTCCTGCCGCAGTGAGGGTTATTGGGGGGTGTCATACGGGGCTGTACTGGGAGCAAGTGGCACAGGTCTGTGTAAGGGGGTCGGTGTGTATGTATCGGAGACACAGAGCTGTGTTGAGATGAGGGAGTGGGGGGCATAGGTATATGTTGGGGTGAGGATGCCTGTGGGGGGACACTACATTGTTGGGAGGTGAAAGGATCTGTATATGTGGGGCAAAGCTGTGTCAGGGTGAGGGGGTCTGTATTTGGGGGCACAGAGCTGTGTTAGGGTGAGGGAGCGTGGGTGGTAACAGGTCTGTGTTGGGGCAAAGGTTGTATGGGTGGGGACAGGGCTGTGTTGGGGCAAAGGGGTGGGTGTATGGATGGGGACGGGGTTGTGTTGTGTCAGAGGGGTAGGGCTGTGTTGGTGGGGACAGGGTTGTGTTGTGTCGGAGGGGTAGGGCTGTGTTGGGGTGAATGGGGGGTGGGGATGGGTGTGGGGACAGGGCTGCATTAGGGCAGGGGGTGAGTATAGGGGTGGGGACAGGGCTGTGTTGGGGCGAAGGGGTGGGTGTAGGGGTGGGGACGGGGTTGTGTTGTGTCGGAGGGGTGGGGCTGGGTTGGTGGGGACGGGGTTGTGTTGTGTCGGAGGGGTGGGGCTGTGTTGGGGTGAATGGGGGGTGGGGCAGGGCTGCATTAGGGCAGGGGGTGGGTGTAGGGGTGGGGACAGGGCTGTGTTGGGGCGAAGGGGTGGGTGTAGGGGTGGGGACGGGGTTGTGTTGTGTCAGAGGGATGGGTCTGGGTTGGGGTGAAGGGGTGGGGACAGGGCTGTGTTGGTGGGGATGGGATTGTGTTGTGTCGGAGGGGTGGGGCTGTGTTGGTGGGGACGGGATTGTGTTGTGTCGGAGGGGTGGGGACGGGGCTGTGTTGGTGGGGACGGGGTTGTGTTGTGTCGGAGGGGTGGGGCTGTGTTGGGGTGAATGGGGGGTGAATGGGGCAGGGCTGCATTAGGGCAGGGGGTGGGTGTAGGGGTGGGGACAGGGCTGTGTTGGGGCGAAGGGGTGGGTGTAGGGGTGGGGACGGGGGTTGTGTTGTGTCAGAGGGATGGGTCTGGGTTGGGGTGAAGGGGTGGAGACAGGGCTGTGTTGGTGGGGATGGGATTGTGTTGTGTCGGAGGGGAGGGGATGTGTTGGTGGGGACGGGATTGTGTTGTGTCGGAGGGGTGGGGACGGGGCTGTGTTGGTGGGGACGGGGTTGTGTTGTGTCGGAGGGGTGGGGACGGGGCTGTGTTGGTGGGGACGGGGCTGTGTTGTGTCGGAGGGGTGGGGACGGGGCTGTGTTGGTGGGGACGGGGTTGTGTTGTGTCGGAGGGGTGGGGACGGGGCTGTGTTGGTGGGGGGGGGTGTTGTGTGGAGGGGTGGGGACGGGGCTGGGTGGTGGGAGGGGTTGTGTGTCGGGGGGAGTGGGGACAGGGTTGTGTTGGTGGGGACGGGGCTGTGTTGTGTCGGGGGGGAGTGGGGACAGGGTTGTGTTGGTGGGGACGGGGTTGTGTTGTGTCGGAGGGGTGGGGACGGGGCTGTGTTGGTGGGGACGGGGTTCGGTTGTGTCGGAGGGGTGGGGACGGGGCTGGGTTGGTGGGGATGGGGTTGTGTTGTGTCGGGGGGGGTGGGGACGGGGCTGTGTTGGTGGGGACGGGGTTGTGTTGTGTCGGAGGGGTGGGGACGGGGCTGTGTTGGTGGGGACGGGGCTGTGTTGTGTCGGAGGGGTGGGGACGGGGCTGTGTTGGTGGGGACGGGGTTCGGTTGTGTCGGAGGGGTGGGGACGGGGCTGGGTTGGTGGGGGTGGGGTTGTGTTGTGTCGGGGGGGTGGGGACGGGGCTGGGTTGGTGGGGACGGGGTTCGGTTGTGTCGGAGGGGTGGGGACGGGGCTGTGTTGGTGGGGACGGGGCTGTGTTGTGTCGGAGGGGGTGGGGACGGGGCTGTGTTGGTGGGGACGGGGGTTCGGTTGTGTCGGAGGAGTGGGGACGGGGCTGGGTTGGTGGGGACGGGGTTGTGTTGTGTCGGGGGGGGTGGGGACGGGGCTGGGTTGGTGGGGACGGGGTTGTGTTGTGTCGGAGGGGTGGGGACGGGGCTGGGTTGGTGGGGACGGGGCTGTGTTGTGTCGGAGGGGTGGGGACGGGGCTGGGTTGGTGGGGACGGGGTTGGGTTGGTGGGGAGGGGTTGGTTGTGTCGGAGGGGTGGGGACGGGGCTGGGTTGGTGGGGACGGGGCTGTGTTGTGTCGGGGGGGAGTGGGGACGGGGCTGGGTTGGTGGGGACGGGGTTGTGTTGTGTCGGAGGGGTGGGGACGGGGCTGGGTTGGTGGGGGGGGGTTGTGTTGTGTCGGGGGGTGGGGATGGGGTTGGGTTGTGTCGGGGGGGTGGGGACGGGGCTGGGTTGGTGGGGACGGGGTTCGGTTGTGTCGGAGGGGGTGGGGACGGGGCTGGGTTGGTGGG